GTATGCTGATTCTGCAAGTTTAAAAGTCGTCGTTCTCGCGCCATTGACCTTCAGCGCATATGATATTTAAATAATGCATGGAAATGAAAAACAACAGAAAAACCCTGACAACTAGGAACACATGGATTTTAGGCAAGAGTAGAAGCTGGTGTGTGCATTGCTTAGCTGAGAATAGAATCACCCCAAGAAGGTTCATTGGATGGTCATCAGAAGATTTGCTCCCAAATTTACAAGTGGTATCAAGGTTCTTTTATTAATGTAAAGGGTTAAAGAGTACAAGAAAATTAATTGAATTAATATTTTAAGTTACAGTTCTACTAAATCTTGTTTTCATTATTATTATAACTATATTGCATTGCCTATATTACATATTATCTATGTTATCTATGAGTATTCAATTTTATTATTTATTTCGTGTAAAAATATTACACTATTTTTATTTGTTATTGCAATTTAATTATTATTATATTTAAACGTAATTTATTTTAATCTCATTATTTTCTTTATATTTAACGCTGGGGACCAGCTTTTTCAGGACCGGGGAAATGTCAAAAGGCAAAATTTTTAGATTTATCATTAAAATAAATCACCCAATATATTAAATGGAATATATTTTAATAAACATAATATTTGGTTACAATAAGAATTAAACTAGAACAAGTTGACGTCAGGACTAAGATCTGAGGTGAACTTTGTTTAATTCTTATTGTTGTAAATATCAATATGGGGAGAATAATTAAAAAGTAAATCAGAGAGGAGAGTCGAGGGCTCTCTCGGGGAGAATGAATGAAGAAGTCATGCTGTTCAGTTGAGTTGAGTTCTCCAAGTATCATAATGACAGTAAAAGTAAGTTTATATTTTTATATATTTTCTCTAAGTATATTTTATTGGTCAAAAGGTATTCTGCTTGACATTTCTCCTACCTAAATTAATGTATTTAATTCTTTAATAAATTTATATTTTGTTTTTATATATATTGATTGTTTTAATGATCTTCGATATCTAAAACGTCCCTAGCCGCAACCCTCTAAAACGGGGTCGCGACAATATTTTGAGAGTTTCCTAAACAGCTAATGTCTTAAGATTTTTTATTGCGATTACCAACCCTTTAGATTAGTGAAGTAAATCATGTATTGATAATGTCATCAAGGAGACGGAAAATCCAGACGATCTACAGTCAAATTCAAATAGACACCAGGATATAGATATTGAGGTAGGTACTCCTAATGCAGATATATAATTAAACCCTATAATAAAAAAATTGAGATATTATATACGAGTCACTGACCTAGTCATTTTTCATTTCAGGTTAAAGAGCCTGGTCTGTCTGATACTTTCAGTATTAGCGCCACCTCTATCCTTGGTACCACCAGCAGCAGAAGCAATTAAGAAAAGTAAACAAGTTGTTAAGGCCCCCTATCTCTATAAAAAAAGGAGGCATAAAATTGCTGAAGAGTAAAAAAATAATGATGGCTAATGTCTTAAGATTTTTTATTGCGATTACCAACCCTTTAGATTAGTGTAGTAAATCATGTATTGATAATGTCATCAAGGAGACGGAAAATCTAGACAATCTACAGTCAAATTCAAATAGACACCAGGATATAGATATTGAGGTAGGTACTCCTAATGCAGATATATAATTAAACCCTATATAAAAAAATTGAGATATTATATACGACTCTCTGACCTAGTCATTTTTCATTTCAGGTTAAGGAGCCTGGTCTGTCTGATACTTTCAGTATTAGCGCCGCCTCTATCCTTGGTACCACCAGCAGCAGAAGCAATTAAGAAAAGTAAACAAGTTGTTAAGGCCCCTTATCTCTATAAAAAAATGGAGGCATAAAATTGCTGCCAAGAGTAAAAAAATAATTGGCTAATGTCTTAAGATTTTTTATATTATATATTATACTATAAAAAAAGGAGGCATAAAATTGCTGAAGAGTAAAAAAAAATTCACAGATTTTGCAACATGCGCAACCATCATAGGCGTATTGAAAATACCAGACACAAAAGTCGGCGGTGGTCAGCAATCACCTGTTTTTTACATTTTATATTAACTTGTGACGTCATTTGGAAGAGCTCAATAGAAATATAAAAGAACTAAAGAAGACTACAACTAAAGCTTGTTTGAAAAGCAATTTGACATTCGTGAAGTCAGCACTCCGGCAACGTATCGCTAATTGCCATTCGCAAATATATTCCAGATACGTATAGCGATATTGTATTTTGATATTTGATTTTTATCGTGATGGCTTTTTATAAAAGTGAAGAATTTAGTAAGAAAAATATTAATGATGGAGATGAACGTGTACGGATTCATGAATGGTCACGATCACGGTCACGACACTATAGAAATGTGAGGTATGTATTTTATGTCTATATATATACATAGAATTAATGGAATTAATTTGCAATAGCACCTCGAACCCACAATTTCATTATGGAGCCAGATAAAACCAATCAGAATCAGTATTATGTTACGTAAAGAAGCCCGAATATTGGTTAAAACGTAGGTTACCCACGTAGGAGCGAAATATGCAAAAAGGTCACTTTAGGTTAAGTTTAGATTAGGCCTATATTTTATTAATGCAAAACCAACTAAAACCTAATTCTAATCTAACTAAACTCACTCCCTCTTTTGCATATTTCGGGCTATTACCTGGGTATTTCTAGGTTTAACCAATATTCAAACTTACATTGTAAAATTTATGGACGGTCCATAAATTTAAATTCGCCGTACAAAAAATAAGTAATAGTTACTGTAGATAAAAATAAATTAAAATATAGTTCCACGATAACTTAGTTTGCAGCTTCTTTTCATCATACCTAGTAAAAACCCGTCACAACCACTACTCATAGTATGTATACCTATGTATTTTTAAACATCATTATGAGATTTAAGTTATAGGTGCCCATAATATGAGTAGCGGTCTTGACGGTTTTTTGTTATGATGAAAATGTTGTGTGATATGAAAAAACAACAAAATATATTATCGATTGCAGCAACTATACCTAGTTTACATTCAGTATGTCCAATTAATATAGAACATTATAGCTATGCATGATTTTAAAAATTTGCTACCATTATATTTTGATAGTTGAGTTTTTGAAATTATTTGTTAGCTTCTTAAACAAAACAGACCCATAATAATTCAAATCTTTATCATCCAAGACTTCCAAGAATTATAAAGTAATCTCACGTCAAAAATTTTTAAAATTATTGCGTGCCTTAAATGTTTGAAAACTTAACAAAAATATTTCTTTGATTACCTGCAATTAATATATTTGGTCCAATTTATGAGTTCTGCATCATATCCGAAATTCAGATTGTGTGTGACACAACGAAGAGTCAACGTGCAACGTGAACGACGAGAAAAAATGGCAAGTAAAAAAAATTGTAAAGTCTTAATTACTAATTACACAGTCGTTCTCTTGAGTTCTCCTGCCTAAAAATATATATTGCCTTCCCTATGATTTTAAATATAAATGATTGACACTCATACAAGTTTACCACAATTTAAACTTAAGATAATTATTTAATTATTAAATCCATAATTATATTAAAATATAACACTTACGAAGTTACTAAATATATTAACTATTTCTACTTAATCATTTAATAATTCTGATAAAAACACGCTTGATTATTTATTTTAGAAATCATACAGGGCTATAATCATTAATATGACTATATTAACAATACTTTAATCAAAATTTATTTGAAGGAATGCTACTGCATTACAATAATAATTGTAAAACAAGTGTGTAATAATAACTCGGAATAATTATTAAAACTGCTCATCTTGTTATAGATGTTGGAGTCTTGTCTCTATTATTTTATTAGCCAGTTTAGTATAGTTCGATTTCAGATAATGCGGATTTTAATGTGCCATTTGTGTTTTTTATTGGAATTATTATTTTAGCATTTGGTATACTCTATGAAGTTATTTTTAAGTGCCCTGTCCATTTTCAATTATTAAAGTGCCTTTAGATACAATTAAAATTAATTAATTGGTGTATAGTATTTGTATTATGGGTTTGTTTATTTTTTTATGAAATGATTTTTTTCCTATTAAAATAAACATAGCTTACTAAATCACTAGCTAGCCATTTTTAAATACAGGATGTTAATTAAGTATCTGGCCAAACTTCAGGAGGTGATTCTTTGAGTGTTTTAAGGTAAAAAGTTCATATAAACATGTGTCCGGAAATGTATAATTTTAAAGATACAGGGTGTCAAGGTGTTTTCATAATAGACCTTTTTATTAATATCTCAAAGATCCGTTAGCCGATTTTGTTGAAATTTCATGCCATGTTGTCAAATTTAATAAGTTAGCACTAATTAAATGATAATTATTATTTACAACAATATTTAAACGATAAAACTTATCCCAATAAATATTTGGCACCACCTTGAATTCATTTGTTTTACGTTGGCGGTGGAAACCATGCAAGCTTTTCTTTGTCCTAAGTTGTTAATTAAAAAATAATTAACATATAAAAAATATAGGTCCCAATAGCCTAAATTTTATCAAAATATATCAGCAGATCCGATGAGACCCGAATTATTATATGTTTGGAACTTAATGATTTAATTAATTATTCCCTTTAATGCATCGATTGTGCGCATTATCCTACGCGCCAAGAAAAAAATATTGCATTAGTCTAAATTTATTATTTATGTTATTCCGCTCTTTCACGTATAATTTGCCCCCTAGCTTCTCATACGGAAAAGAGTTAGATTAAAATAGCCCAACTGTATAACAACCCATGCCTTGACGCATATTCTTTTTTATAATAATATCGGCTTTCAGACTACACATCCATATCCATAAAATAGTTGGCCCACACTAATAAGACCTCATTTCGGCCTTTGGACGGCCTTGCTCTATTCAGTTATCGACTTACGTGTTGACAAGTTGATTAGGCAGGTTAATGAACTCCATGTCGCCTCTAGCATGTCGTTTTTTCAAAGATGGGTCCCATATAAACGCGGCCAGAAGTATTTTCAATACTAAAATAATGATGGCTAATGTCTTAAGATTTTTTATTGCGATTACCAACCCTTTAGATTAGTGTAGTAAATCATGTATTGATAACGTCATCAAGGAGACGGAAAATCCAGACAATCTACAGTCAAATTCAAATAGACACCAGGATATAGATATTGAGGTAGGTACTCCTAAATGCAGATATATAATTAAACCCTATAATAAAAAAATTGAGATATTATATACGAGTCACTGACCTAGTCATTTTTCATTTCAGGTTAAGGAGCGTGGTCTGTCTGATACTTTCAGTATTAGCGCCACCTCTATCCTTGGTACCAAAAGCAGCAGAACCAATTAAGAAAAGTAAACAAGTTGTTAAGGCCCCTTATCTCTATAAAAAAAAGGAGGCATAAAACTGCTGAAGAGTAAAAAAAAATAATGATGGCTAATGTCTTAAGATTTCTTATTGCGAGTACCAACCCTTTAGATTAGTGTAGTAAATCATGTATTGATAATGTCATCAAGGAGACGGAGAATCCAGACAATCTACGGTCAAATTCAAATAGACACCAGGATATAGATGTTGAGGTAGGTACTCCTAAATGCAGATATATAATTAAACCCTATATAAAAAAATTGAGATATTATATATGACTCTCTGACCTAGTCATTTTTCATTTCAGGTTAAGGAGCGTATTCTGTCTGATACTTTCAGTATTAGCGCTACCTCTATCCTTGGTACCACCAGCAGCAGAAGCAATTAAGAAAAGTAAACAAGTTGTTAAGGCCCCTTATCTCTATAAAAAAAAGGAGGCATAAAATTGCTGAAGAGTAAAAAAAATAATGATGGCTAATGTCTTAATATTTTTTATTGCGATTACCAACCCTTTAGATTAGTGTAGTAAATCATGTATTGATAATGTCATCAAGGAGACGGAAAATCCAGACAATCTACAGTCAAATTCAAATAGACACCAGGATATAGATATTGAGGTAGGTACTCCTAATGCAGATATATAATTAAACCCTATAATAAAAAAATTGAGATATTATATACGAGTCACTGACCTAGTCATTTTCATTTCAGGTTAAGGGAGCCTGGTCTGTCTGATACTTTTCAGTATTAACCACCTCTATCCTTGGTACCACCAGCAGTAGAAGCAATTAAGAAAAGTAAACAAGTTGTTAAGGCCCCCTATCTCTATAAAAAAAAATGGATTGCGTAAAATTGCTGAAGAGTAAAAAATAATGATGGCTAATGTCTTAAGATTTTTATTGCGATTACCAACCCTTTAGATTAGTGTAGTAAATCATGTATTGATAATGTCATCAAGGAGACGGAAAATCCAGACAATTTACAGTCAAATTCAAATAGACACCAGGATATAGATATTGAGGTGGTACTCCTAAATGCAGATATATAAATTAAACCCTATAATAAAAAAATTGAGATATTATATACGAGTCACTGACCTAGTCATTTTTCATTTCAGGTTAAGGAGCGTGGTCTGTCTGATACTTTCAGTATTAGCGCCACCTCTATCCTTGGTACCAAAAGCAGCAGAACCAATTAAGAAAAGTAAACAAGTTGTTAAGGCCCCTTATCTCTATAAAAAAAAGGAGGCATAAAATTGCTGAAAAGAGTAAAAAAAATAATGATGGCTAATGTCTTAAGATTTTTTATTGCGATTACCAACCCTTTAGATTAGTGTAGTAAATCATGTATTGATAATGTCATCAAGGAGACGGAAAATCCAGACAATCTACAGTCAAATTCAAATAGACACCAGGATATAGATATTGAGATAGGTACTCCTAAATGCAGATATATAATTAAACCCTATAATAAAAAAATTGAGATATTATATACGAGTCACTGACCTAGTCATTTTTCATTTCAGGTTAAGGAGCCTGGTCTGTCTGATACTTTCAGTATTAGCGCCACCTCTATCCTTGGTACCACCAGCAGTAGAAGCAATTAAGAAAAGTAAACAAGTTGTTAAGGCCCCTTATCTCTATAAAAAAAAGGAGGCATAAAATTGCTGAAGAGTAAAAAAATAATGATGGCTAATGTCTTAAGATTTTTTATTGCGATTACCAACCCTTTAGATTAGTGTAGTAAATAATTTATTGATAATGTCATCAAGGAGACGGAAAATCCAGACAATCTACAGTCAAATTAAAATAGACACCAGGATATAGATATTGAGGTAGGTACTCCTAATGCAGATATATAATTAAACCCTATAATAAAAAAATTGAGATATTATATACGAGTCACTGACCTAGTCATTTTTAATTTCAGGTTAAGGAGCCTGGTCTGCCTGATACTTTCAGTATTAGCGCCACCTCTGTCCTTGGTACCACCAGCAGTAGAAGCAATTAAGAAAAGTAAACAAGTTGTTAAGGCCCCTTATCTCTATAAAAAAAGGAGGCATAAAATTGCTGAAGAGTAAAAAAATAATGATGGCTAATGTCTTAAGATTTTTTATTGCGATTACCAACCCTTTAGATTGGTGTAGTAAATCATTTATTGATAATGTCATCAAGGAGACGGAAAATTCAGACAATCTACAGTCAAATTAAAATAGACACCAGGATATAGATATTCAGGTATGTACTCCTAATGCAGATATATAATTAAACCCTATAATAAAAAAATTGAGATATTATATACGAGTCACTGACCTAGTCATTTTTCATTTCAGGTTAAGGAGCCTGGTCTGCCTGATACTTTCAGTATTAGCGCCACCCCTATCCTTAGTACCACCAGCAGTAGAAGCAATTAAGAAAAGTAAACAAGTTGTTAAGGCCCTTTATCTCTATAAAAAAAATGGAGGCTTAAAATTGCTGAAGAGTAAAAAAATAATGATGGCTAATGTCTTAAGATTTTTTGTTGCGATTACCAACCATTTAGATTAGTGTAGTAAATCATGTATTGATAATGTCATCAAGAAGACGGCAAATCCAGACAATCTACAGTCAAATTCAACAATAGACACCAGGATATAGATATTGAGGTAGGTACTCCTAAATGCAGATATATAATTAAACCCTATAATAAAAAAATTGAGATATTATATACGAGTCACTGACCTAGTCATTTTTCATTTCAGGTTAAGGAGCCTGGTCTGCCTGATACTTTCAGTATTAGCGCCACCTCTATCCTTGGTACCACCAGCAGTAGAAGCAATTAAGAAAAAGTAAACAAGTTGTTAAGGCCCTTTATCTCTATAAAAAAATGGAGGCTTAAAATTGCTGAAGAGTAAAAAATAATGATGGCTAATGTCTTAAGATTTTTGTTGCGATTACCAACCATTTAGATTAGTGTAGTAAATCATGTATTGATAATGTCATCAAGAAGACGGCAAATCCAGACAATCTACAGTCAAATTCAACAATAGACACCAGGATATAGATATTGAGGTAGGTACTCCTAAATGCAGATATATAATTAAACCCTATAATAAAAAAATTGAGATATTATATACGAGTCACTGACCTAGTCATTTTTCATTTCAGGTTAAGGAGCCTGGTCTGCCTGATACTTTCAGTATTAGCGCCACCTCTATCCTTGGTACCACCAGCAGTAGAAGCAATTAAGAAAAGTAAACAAGTTGTTAAGGCCCCTTATCTCTATAAAAAAAATGGAGGCATAAAATTGCTGAAGAGTAAAAAATAATGATGGCTAATGTCTTAAGATTTTTGTTGCGATTACCAACCATTTAGATTAGTGTAGTAAATCATGTATTGATAATGTCATCAAGAAGACGGCAAATCCAGACAATCTACAGTCAAATTCAACAATAGACACCAGGATATAGATATTGAGGTAGGTACTCCTAAATGCAGATATATAATTAAACCCTATATAAAAAAATTGAGATATTATATACGACTCTCTGACCTAGTCATTTTTCATTTCAGGTTAAGGAGCCTGGTCTGTCTGATACTTTCAGTATTAGCGCCACCTCTATCCTTGGTACCACCAGCAGCAGAAGCAATTAAGAAAAGTAAACAAGTTGTTAAGGCCCCTTATCTCTATAAAAAAATGGAGGCATAAAATTGCTGCCAAGAGTAAAAAAATAATGATGGCTAATGTCTTAAGATTTTTTATTGCGAGTACCAACCCTTTAGATTAGTGTAGAAAATCATGTATTGATAATGTCATCAAGGAGACGGAAAATCCAGACAATCTACGGTCAAATTCAAATAGACACCAGGATATAGATGTTGAGGTAGGTACTCCTAAATGCAGATATATAATTAAACCCTATATAAAAAAAAATTGAGATATTATATACGACTCACTGACCTAGTCATTTTTCATTTCAGGTTAAGGAGCCTGGTCTGTCTGATACTTTCAGTATTAGCGCCACCTCTATCCTTGTACCACCAGCAGTAGAAGCAATTAAGAAAAGTAAACAAGTTGTTAAGGCCCCTTATCTCTATAAAAAAAATGGAGGCATAAAATTGCTGAAGAGTAAAAAATAATGATGGCTAATGTCTTAAGATTTTTTGTTGCGATTACCAACCATTTAGATTAGTGTAGTAAATCATGTATTGATAATGTCATCAAGAAGACGGCAAATCCAGACAATCTACAGTCAAATTCAACAATAGACACCAGGATATAGATATTGAGGTAGGTACTCCTAAATGCAGATATATAATTAAACCCTATAATAAAAAAATTGAGATATTATATACGAGTCACCGACCTAGTCATTTTTCATTTCAGGTTAAGGAGCCTGGTCTGCCTGATACTTTCAGTATTAGCGCCACCTCTATCCTTGGTACCACCAGCAGTAGAAGCAATTAAGAAAAGTAAACAAGTTGTTAAGGCCCCTTATCTCTATAAAAAAAATGGAGGCATAAAATTGCTGAAGAGTAAAAAAATAATGATGGCTAATGTCTTAAGATTTTTTGTTGCGATTACCAACCATTTAGATTAGTGTAGTAAATCATGTATTGATAATGTCATCAAGAAGACGGAAAATCCAGACAATCTACAGTCAAATTCAACAATAGACACCAGGATATAGATATTGAGGTAGGTACTCCTAAATGCAGATATATAATTAAACCCTATAACAAAAAAAATTGAGATATTATATACGACTCACTGACCTAGTCATTTTTCATTTCAGGTTAAGGAGCCTGGTCTGTCTGATACTTTCAGTATTAGCGCTACCTCTATCCTTGGTACCACCAGCAGCAGAAGCAATTAAGAAAAGTAAACAAGTTGTTAAGGCCCCTTATCTCTATAAAAAAAATGGAGGCATAAAATTGCTGAAAAGAGTAAAAAATAATGATGGCTAATGTCTTAAGATTTTTTATTGTTTTATTGCGATTACCAACCCTTTAGATTAGTGTAGTAAATCATGTATTGATAATGTCATCAAAGAGACGGAAAATCCAGACAATCTACAGTCAAATTCAAATAGGCACCAGGATGTAGATATTGAGGTAGATACTCTTAAATGCAGGTATATAATTAAACCCTATAATAAAAAAATTGAGCTATTATATACGAGTCACTGACCTAGTCATTTTTCATTTCAGGTTAAGGAGCCTGGTCTATCTGATACTTTCAGTATTAGCGCCACCTGTATCCTTGGTACCACCAGCAGCAGAAGCAATTAAGAAAAGTAAACAAGTTGTTAAGGCCCCTTATCTCTATTAAAAAAAACGGAGGCAAAAATTGCTAAAAAAAATTGATGGCTAATGTCTTAAGACTTTTTATTGCGATTACCAACCCTTTAGAGTAGTGTAGTAAATCATATATTGATAATGCCATCAAGGATGAGGATAATGCCATCGAGGTTTAATCAGGTTCAATAAAAAAGTTCGGTACACTGGTAAAACAATTATTTTTATGAACAGCATTAAGTAAAGTATAATAAGAAAATAATCAGTTCAGATCTTGAAATATCTGTGATTCGATTCTGGTGAAACATGGCGAACAAGAAGGAAGAGTCGCGTGCTCCGCTTTGCGGATTTTGCAAAACGAAAGCAATAATTAAGCGCGTAAAGTGCAGGTGCTGTGCAACATACTTTCTTAGTTCCTGTTGGAGGCATAAAATTGCTGCCAAGAATAAAAAAAATATTGATGGCTAATGTCTTAAGACTTTTTATTGCGATTACCAACCCTTTAGAGTAGTGTAGTAAATCATATATTGATAATGCCATCAAGGAAGAGGATAATGCCATCGAGGTTTAAGCAGGTTCAATAAAAAGTTCGGTACACTGGTAAAACTATTATTTTTATGAACAGCATTAAGTAAAGTATAATAAGAAAATAATCAGTTCAGATCTTGAAATATCTGTGAGATTCGATTCTGGCGAAACATGGCGAACGAGAAAGAAGAGTCGCGCGCTCCGCTTTGCGGATTTTGCAAAACGAAAGCAGTAATTAAGCGCGTAAAGTGCAGGTGCCAGTGCTGCCAGACCTACCGTTTTTACGGTAGATCTACCGTTTTCACCCTAGTAGTTACCGTTCTACCGCACAGACTACTAATTCTACCACAATTTTAAAAGTAGAGAAAGTTACCAGAATTTATTATCGAATTTTTAAAAAATAAATTAAAAAGCATATTATAATAATATTATAAATCTACTATCGATAAAACTATGAATAACGATTCGGTGCCTCATCTCTATGCAGACGTCACAAGTCACAATTGAAGTAGATATTTCGGGAATTCCCAGAAACGACCAGCCAGCTGAGTTCATGTTGTTTCGTAATAGTATACATAATCAAGGGTAATAGTAATATATTTTATCCCTTGATTTTGATTCGTATCGTGTAACGTAGCTTGTGTGCGGTTTTTTAATATTTCGACCATGAGGTAAGTAATTTAATATGCAATATCGACATTCTAAGCATCTATAATGTATTATATTATTAGTTCTGATGAATCTTATTTAACTGATGACCCATCGGTTCCTACCTCCAGTAAGGCCAAAAGAAAAAAATATGCACAAAAATTTAAGAGCGAATGGGAATCAGAATTTAAAAACTGGCTAGCACCTGGGAAAACGGATACTGAGGGCTATTGCAAAGTTTGCCAAAAGAATATTAGCGTCAGTTCGGGAAAATTACAACTTGTAAGACATCAAGACAGCGAGGCACATCGGAAAAAATGCAAGTCCGTAAAAAAACAGCCAACTTTAACATCGCTTATAAAAACTGGAAAAGAACGGACGAGTTTAGATGTGGCCACAAAAAGAGCAGATTTGTATATTTCTGCTTTTGTGGCAGAACATAATTTGCCATTTACTGTCACGGAACACATTCCTCAACTTCTGGCAAAGTTTGTTGCGACTCAGATTGGCCAAAAATATTAAATGCAGTCGGACCAAGACCACATCTATAGTAAAAAATATTATTGGGAAGCTAAGTTCGAAAAATATTTATGACATATTGAAATCTGTCAAATTCTCACTAATAATAGATGAATCCACTGATTTAAGCACTACTAAACATTTAGTTTTAATTTGCCGATATTTTGATGGCAACCAGTAAGTGTTATTTTATATTTTAGTCTCGAATATATCAAGTTATTATTTATTTATTTTAGAATACGAGATCGATTCCTAACTCTAATAGCAATGAAGAGTTCCAAAGCTGTTGATATTTACAGGGAGATTGTAAGTTTTCTAAATAAAAATAATGTACCTTTTTTAAACAACTTAATTGGGTTTGCCTCAGACGGTGCCAATGTGATGGCTGGGGCACACGAATCAGTAATGGCAAAGTTAAAAACTGACATTCCTCATATTTTTTTAATGAAATGTGTTTGTCACAGTTTTGCGTTATGTTCATCAAGTGCTTGTATGAAACTTCCAAGGGCAGTTGAAGACTGCATTAGAAATATTTATAATTACATAGCAAATAGTCCCAAAAGAATTGAAACCTTAAAGGAATTTCAAAATTTTACGCATACAAAAATCCACAAAATTCTCCACCCTTCTCAAACCCGTTGGCTTTCTTTAGAGGCGGTTGTGTGTAGGATTATTGAACAATTTAATGCCCTGAAACTCTATTTAATTGATGCTGTCACAAATGACAAATTGTTGGCAGCAGAAAATATTTTGAAAGTCCTTCAAGACCCTTTAACCTTGGCTTTTTTGTTATTTTTACAACATATCTTGCCGCTTTTAATAGTTTAAATAAGAGATGCAGTCGATCGAACCAAAATTATACAATCTACATATTCGCATGTGTGAAACTTACAGAACCCTTCTGGATTATTTTATTAAAAAAAATGTACTGGAAAGTAATACCCAATTACAAAAAATAAATGTCAAAAATCCAGAGAATTATAAGAATATCGAAAACATATATTTAGGAGCCAATCTTATTCAATATATCCTAAATAATAATTTATCGGCTGAAGAAATACATATTCTTCGCGTGCGTTGTCTAGATTTTTATATAGAGGCCGCAGAGCAATTATCTAAAAGATATGATTTTGACAATGATGTATTAAAATCTATGTGTTTAATAAATCCGGAATATATAATAAAATGTAATGATGAGTCCCTAGTCCCTCTAGCCGTACATTTTCCTAATTTAGTTTTGCCAAATGACCTTCAAAAATTGGACAATGAGTGGAGACTTCTTAAAAATTCAGATCTAATTCGAAACTTTAAAAACGATGAGTCCGTAATATCCTTTTGGTTAAAAGTCCAGGAACAAAAATATGCCGATAAAACACAAATGTTTCCTTTTCTTTCATCCTTTGCATTTAATTTGCTAAGTTTGCCGCATTCTTCTGCAAATGCAGAAAGAAAGTTTTCCCAAATTAATCTGCTTAAGACGAAGCAGAGGAATTCGTTGTCAACAAGCACTATAGTTGGACTAATGCATAGCAAAGAATATATCGAAACAAAATGTTATGACATAAATATATCCAATGAGTTGTTGTCATACCATAACAGTAATCACTTGTATAAAAAATCTGATGAATATTCCGATTCGGAATAATGTATTAAACTATTTTTCTTTATTAATATTACGTACCTAAGTTTTATTTTGTTTTAGATTATTTAAGTGTTGAGTTTTTATGTTAAGATATATTATAAATTTTAAAAATTATTTTTCCTTTAGTCTAATAAAAATTTAATTAAACATATTACCAGTTTTTAATTTCTCTTGCAAAAATATTAAATAGAAAAATTTACGAAAATATACTAAAAATCTTGCTAGATTAGTCGATTTTAAAAGCGTATAATTGGTTATGATTGACGTTGACAGATAAACCACAGAGATAAACAATTATTTAAACGTCCTTTGTTTATTGATCGTTTGACAACTGACGTTTAAAGCATTGTTTGTTTGTGAACCTGAACCATAACCATTAGGTTATTCCTGCTATTCGCTTAAAATCGGCTATAGTGTGAATAGGTCGCGGAATAGGTTTCGGCAGGCACGAAATTATGACGTCATGTTATCATAATATGATGGCTACCGTTTTCAATTCGAATCTACCGTTTTCTATACGTTGAATCTACCGCCTTGGCCATTTTAGATCTGGCAGCACTGGCAGGTGCTGTGCAACATACTTTCATAGTTCCTGTTGAAGGCATAAAATTGCTGCCAAGAGTAAAAAAAATATTGATGGCTAATGTCTTAAGACTTTTTATTGCGATTACCAACCCTTTAGAATAGTGTAGTAAATCATATATTGATAATGCCATCAAAGAAGAGGATAATGCCATCGAGGTTTAATCAGGTTCAATAAAAAGTTCGGTAAACTGGTAAAACAATTGAGGGGCTGAGTTCCAAAACTAGTTTTATCCAAATTCGTTAATTTTCAATAATCGCAAAAAACGAACAGCAACTTAATTAGTCTTGGAACAAATGCACGACTTTAACATGTAAATTATACAGGATAGAATGAGTTATGCCACAAAAACTATGCTGAATATTGTGCAGGGCTGTCAATACTAGACTATAGATACTTTTACTCAAAATTACCAAAAACTCAACCCCTCAATTATTTCAATGAACAGCATTAAGTAAAGTATAATAAGAAAATAATCAGTTCAGATCTTGAAATATCTGTGATTCGATTCTGGGGAAACATGGCGAACGAGAAAGAAGAGTTGCGTGCTCCGCTTTGCGGATTTTGCAAAACGAAAGCAGTACAGTACAGGTGCTGTGCAACATACTGCGGCGACTTTTTTTTATCGGCGATATTTAAAAGGTTAGAAAAAATTATAAAAAAGGATATTAAAAATTAAAAAGAAAACCGCAGCGTACGGCTGCTCTTCGTCTGGTGAACAATAGGTGTAGGTTCATTTAACTATTTTTGCATATTGTTGGGCACTACTTAATTTAAGCCAAGTTCGGTACGGTAGTTCGGGTAATTTAAGCCAAGTTAAGGTGATATTTAAAAAATTAAAAAAATTACCACAGGCTAAAGATGTTCAGTAATGATATATCTCAAATTAAAACAGCAAAATTTAATAAAAAACTATGTACATTTATTAATAATTAAATAACTCCAGTTTGAAAGTGAATAAAAAAAAGGTAATTAAAAATAATACAATAAATTAATGTTATCATATCGAAACTTAAATTACTAAATATAAATTACCAAGCGCAATCGTTTGTTTAAGTTTCATTAAAAAAGGTTTCAATAAAAAAGGTCATAGAAAGTTAAAAAAAAGGCAAACAGATTCTAAAGCAAAACATAAATCAGTACTTAGCTTTTGCTCTGAAGTTGTAGTCAATCAGTGCTCATTTGGTATCGTACTTGGGCCCATATCCATTACGTAACTGCTTCAAACCATCACAAAACTTGGAAATTTGCGGAAAAAGGGGGAAACTCGCCAATTCTCACCAGCCTCCAAGGAACCTTCACGGCACCATTCAGAAAAAACAAAAACTGCTCAAAAACTTCGGCTCAAAAAAACTACTGCTGCTCTTAAAATCTTCACAAAAAAATTACCAAAATATTCTCGTTTCCAAAACGAAAGTTGCTTCCAAAATCCACTCCAAAAAACTCCCAAAATACCAATTCTTCCCCTTATCGTATGTTCCAAGAGAAGAAT